ATCTGCGTAATCTTATCCTTTAATGGATAGAGCAAGTTAAACCGTGACGCCTCATCAAAGAAGTGGCATACGTAACGGTCGCATGTGTGCTCGGACATAGGCAGGTCAACAAGATCAATGACGACCCTGCGCCATGGAGCATCTTCAATCACACTCTTAAGCGGTGCGAACCCATAGCGCTTAATCTGGTTGAGATCACAGTCTGTACATGACTCGTGGTCTGGTGCGGCATTGACTTACCCCCATCCTCGCTTCTAAACCGGATTATGACGGATAACCTGGTCCTTCTCGGTATTTCGTACTCTGCACTAACCCATTCCGCGGCACTACACGGCATAGACCCGATCCGTACCCCAGAGGTGGGTACTCTACTTAGTAGGTCAGCAAGCGAATATATGGAACATTCGATAGCAACAGTGTATAAATCTTTTATTGTCGACTCACTTGGCCCAAGCTTCAAACGGGAATTTACTGACCACTTCTTCCCATCAATCTTTCCTGAACCACTACAGCGACTATGAGAGCCTTACCATGTGTTCATATATTGTATCATACATACTTGCCATTTTTGAAATAAATAATATTATCCCTATTAAGAGTACCTTTATAGTTTACGTACTGCTTAAGAGTACGTTCATAACATAGAGTCTTATGTGGAGGCCGGCTATTACATCACGAGAGTCGCGTCCCCAATGATCACTATTCGAATCACGGCCCCCACGGCTCCAGTTGTCCCGACGGCCACCCCCTCGGCCCGAGCGATAACGTTGATCTCGCCGCGGGTCACCTCTGTCACCACAATACCTCCCATCTCCTCGCTCATACGGGATAGATGAAACTTTGTTTAATGTCCCTTGTCTCGAGCCTCAGTCGCGTGTTTACGTCGCAACTCGGTGTACAGGCTCTCACGGTCGTTGTTCCTTGTTCTTACAGAACACGTGCATATCCAGGATAAATATAAGCCACTTCTTTGTCGACGAGAGTTCGAGGAGTTGATGACTCGAGCAAGTTGAGGGCGGCTCAACTCTCGATTCTGGAAGACATTCATAAAATAGAGATCTCAGGCCGTGAGCCGTGAGCCGTGAGCCCGTAACGAATGACGACTGACGACGTGACGTCTTCTTCTGTTTTGAAAAAAAATATGGTTTATTGTCTGATTTTAGTTTTGTTTAAAAAAAAATCAAAATTATAAACAAAAATATATAAGTTCAAAACAATTGTTGTTTTCTTTTGTATTCTTATCAACGATTTTACTTAAACCTGTATAGCACACGGAGAGAAAATCTGCCATTTTATTATTATAGAACGCTTCCGCAGATATCCGTTGGACAAATGGAAAGTTGCAGGCGTTAAGGTTGACATTCTCACGAATATCACTGTAATTTGATTGACTACATTCCATGAATTATGTACATGGGATCTCTGTTCACTATGTGGGCCCCGAGGTCTGAGGCCTGAAGGGGGAAATGTGCTGATATGTAGGGCCTTTTGAGCCTTTGAGGTCCTTTATCTCAAAACAATCGAATATAAAAAATTCTAAACCAATTAAAACTTATACATGAGATTTCATGACCATACAAAATATACAAATGCGTAATGTACTGTGCTAATACGCTTAGAGTCATTTACAAAGGAGAAACATGGTTGGCCATGAAACTAGCTCACTCAACTTTTGATGCATTGAATATTTGTATTTATTCTAAATCAAACAGAAAAGTAATGAATAAAAGCCATAGGCTCCTAAATAATTGTTCAATTTAGGAGGCTATGTAAAAGCATGGTAAAAATTTGCTACCGATTTACTAAAGTCGGTGTTATTTTAATATAGTTTAAGAATGCTATGGTGCAGTCACTGAACAAAGAGAATAGCTTTTGTTTTAAAAAAAAAGCAAAAGAGAAAAGAAGCCGAATGTTTAATTTAGAAGGCTATGCTGATGGCTTTATATGTTTATTTTTAGCATTACGTATGTATTTAAAAAAATAAAATAAAATTTACAATTGTAAATACATATTTACACACTTATAAATTGGGGTCAAACCTCTTTATATAAGACCACCTCTAAAAGATGTCCACCTCTTTATATGACAATTTTTATTCGGGCCAACCCCCATATATGTGTCAGGTCTTTTTGGGCCGGTCCTCACAGCCTGCCCTTGGCGGGACCTTAGAGGTCCGACTATTGTCAGCACTGAGCACTGATTGAGCTAAAATTTTATATTTGTGTTCATCTTTTTTAAAGTGCTCCGACCATGAGGTCAGGGACTCAGGGATTCAGTCCTCACTTTCGTATATTTGTTAGTGCATTTACACGAGTATATATTTTACCTTTCACCTTTAGCTTTACAGTAGCACGTTAATACATAGACTAGTACATACTACAATAGATACTGATGGGAGACACTTCTAGTGGTGAACGATGTTGTGCGAAAGGATGCACTATAGCGCACCCAGTGGGTAGTGCACACAAGTGTGCTGCTTACGATCGAAGTATGCATGCCTTTTTTTGGCGTATATCTTGGTGGGATGTTTGATTCAAATTCGATCGGTTACTGCCTGTCTACAGATAATTTCCAGCTACCGGAGGACAAGTCAGATTAGACAACTATTGAATCAGATACAATGCAGGAAGACGACGTGGCACAAGCTACGCCTAAGTAGGGTGCATCGTCTAATGTGAGTGGAGCATCTAGTATAATGATGAAGAAGCTCACTGCAAGTAAGAAGAAGACATACCCACAGACTATATTATCCAAAGTGAAAGCCCGAACACTGAAGAGATTAAATCTATCAAATAGAGACAAAGAAATTATCGTGCGCGCAATCAAGAAAATGGGATAAAGCTTTGACAAGTCCTGGAAAGCGAACTATCGTAATGATTTAGTTAAAGAAGCCGTGCGAGCTGCGCATGAATCATTCAGTGTGAGTATGAAAACAATACGAAGGTTTACGGAGTCCGGAGAGAAGGTGCATAGTCAGTCTTTTGAGGTTTATGCGAAGAAGAAATATCGAGAGGAAAGGATATACCACGCGTTCGAGAAATGTTTGATTGAGCGGGTTAATAAGGTTAGAGAAACTGGTTTTAGTTCAAGTCAGAGCTTGATCGGCACAAAGGGAAAGGAGTATTTAGGTGAGAACGCAAATGCGCCTGGAATAGCTCCTGGTCTGTTTATAGGTCAGACCCCGAACCTGACAGAACGAACCTGACCCAGACTTGATCAACTCTTTATATGACCAATTATTGACCAAAAACGGACACTGGTCATATAGAGAGGTTTGACTGTACATACATATTCGTTGTTTTGTTATGAAGAAAATAAAAACAAACGCCGAATGTTTTTTAAAAACAAAAAAACAATTGATGTAAATAAGTAGATACATTGTTTTTTCAAAAAACAAATATACAAAAGGTCCATATATGTCAATAAAATTTACAAATGAAATGCTTACAAATATAAATACATAAATACGTTTTAGTATGTAAATGGGGATGCGTAAAATGCGCTGTTATAATTGGAAATCTAGAAAGCTATGAAAATCCGGGTGCTTTGTACTAACATAAAAGAAGATCAAATTAGATTTTTTGGACATAAATATTCAGGTTTACCCTCCTATAGCCTTATAGGTACACAAGACAAATGAGGGGCACGCTCAAAAATTCGTATTTTAAACCGGAGTTCTATGAATATACCCAAAAATATTTCTAAAAAGTGTGATTTGATGGCAAAATCATCTATTTTGAGTTTGTTTTTGGGTATAGTAATAAAAAAATTCTAAAACCCTCAATTTTCTAGTATACCCTTGGAATTGTCCAAAAGATCCCAGATTCCAATTTGTGTAACCATATATTTATTATTTATACTGAATATTTATATTCATTTTGTGGACATCTGAGATTCTGAGTCCCCGTTTATATACGCGAAGCTGGCCGCTGGCCTCGCGGGCCCAGGTACGAGGCACGAGGACTCTAGAGAGAGGACTCGACTCCAAAAACTCCAGAGCTTCCCCGATTTTTAGAGATATTGAAAATCGTACGATTTTTTTAGTTGATGAATATTTATATCCAAAAACACAATTTTTTTCAGTACTTGGCATCCGGACTTCCTTAAATTTTTCTCAATTTTCATTTTGTTTAATAATAATAAAAACTTGTCTTACAAGACCGGAATATTTTAGGGGGAGTTGCATTGCCAATTGTTCCCAATATATTGGAATTTTACAATTTTACCTAATTTTAAAGGTATATGTTGCGGATTCGCATGTTTACGTTAAATATAAAAAAACTCGTCCACACCTAGGGCCCTCTAGGCGCTCTAGCCCAACTTCTAAAAAAACTGATGCGCAACATTTTTTTGTTGATTGGTTGTATTAGCTAATTTTGAAGGCGCCTTTATATTGGCTTTTTCGTACGGAGCGTGAATTTAGATGGGGGTCTTTATATACGCTAAAAGTTTAACGGACAGACGGACAAAAATGCAATTTTAGTCGGGAGTCTGGGCTCTGGACACCGTATGGAGGGACCTACAAGTTACAAGTATTACATAAATACACACGACAAGCGCTTTCAGTGGTCCACCCCGGCCTAATCCCCTATACTACATACATACTTTACACTTATAACAAATACAGTTTACATTTTGTTTTGTGTATTATATAAAATTTAAAAATAAAACGAACAAAAAATAAACACAAATCTGTAAAATCAACCCATGATCTTTGCAGCTTGTATGTATGCATTGTATTCTTTCTTAAAATTATTAAAAAAAATTCATTACGGTGCGCGTCGTAAAATTTATAAATTCTCGACTAATCTCGATGGTTTGAAGTTTGAAGTTTGAAACTTCTAGCGAAATCTGTCTCGCTCTGAGATTAGGGAGAGTAGAGTTCAGCTTTTGAATTTGTTTCTTGTTTTGATTTGGTTTTTTTTATATAGCCTCTTGAAAATTATGTTTAATTACAGAAGGCTCTGACAATATATAATTATATATACGAGCTTTTACTACCTCATTATGAAATATAAAAAAATCTATATACACTGAGTTTCAATGCTCGATCTGTTGTAAAAATGTTGCGTGGACACACGCTTGTTCTTGCAGTATGTGCAAGTTTATTGGCAAGTAGGCATGTACATGGTGTTGCCGTAGATATGGTAGTATTGGGACCTAGTAATGCAGAGGAATGGAAAGCATATTACGGTGATCTATTGAGCACAGCAGGTGAGATTGAGGTATCGGGGTATTCACCTATAGGAGAATTCAATGAATTATTTGAGGTAGTAGAGCGAGATATAGCTGTGTCAGTCGAGTATCTCGCTGGCAACACAAACTTCACATCACTGCAAAGGTATGCAGATGCGTGTGTGGCAGCCTGCGAGGAGAATCGCATTCAATGCGGATCGTTTGCTTTTAGTTACCTTGAGTTCACACCTGCTAACAACGCATGCCTACTGATGAAAAAAAGTGATCCATTTACGCTGTTAGGGTTCCAGTGCGATGGCTTCTGTCCGGTGAGTGAGACTGCAATTATGATGCAAGTGCTTATTCAAACACCTACACCCACGTGCGGATTTGACCGCTACTATGGTTACAAGGTTGCGGCTGAGTTGGCGACTGAAATATTTGATCTGGGGTGCCAGGACACCATCGAAGACGGGGGCACGTGTGGAGATATAGGGTATTCTGGTGCTGATATGACGAATGACAACTATGGCTGTGCTATGGATTCTATTTGCTACTACTTGAAGGCGGATGGGGTTAGCAAGTGCCTCTCGCAAAGCTCTGTAGATGAGATTATACGCGAAGATTTGGCGACCGAGAAAGAGGAAGAGAAACACGCACACGAGTTGCTGTATGGGTTCCAAGAGATGCTTAAGAATGTGACGGTGCCAGAGTATAGGGTCCCATACTGGACGGTTATGGCCATCGCCAGTTTGGACGATTCTAGTTACAGGTCAGACGGAGAGTTCACTAATTATGAACAATCTATCGAATGGTTCTCTTTGAGTGGAATTGGCAATGTTACAGTCGAAGAATACGCAAGAACATGTGCCAATGCATGTAGTGATTTCAATTATACGGCTGGTGAAGTTTGCAAAGGGTTTGGTTACGTATTCAAACCAGACGCGGTTGAAGAAAATCAGTGCCGGCTGTTTCCGCAAGAAATCGAGTTCAATTTCTTGGGATACGGTTGCGGTAATAACTATTGCCCTGTGGGGAACGGTATCATGCTAAAGCTGTATTTTTCGGAGAAAATAGACTGTGGCGAAGGTCGCTTTCACGGGTATGACCTACAACAATTCAGCTACGAAGGAGATCGACTTGAAAATTTTATTTGCAGAGATCAGTGGGGTGTTAATGGTTACTGTGGAGCGGATGCATTTACACCGTCTACTGATCTTAGCTATAACAATTCAGGTTGCCCTATCGTCACAGAGTGTGAGCTCGACGATAACTCGGGCTATTACTACTGCCGCCTGGGAGACATGGTGCCCACATTTGAATGTGGTGAAATTAATGGGATGGAGTACAATGTATATTTGGGTGAACTAAGCTCAATCACTAGTCACTTGGATGATACGTTTATTGAGCTGGTGGATGAAGGTACCAATGAATCACTCCCTGTTCGATTCCATAGGTGCACCGAGCACTGTGCCGCCAACCGGCCTTGTCAGTCATGGGCATTGCTAAGTGATCTGAAGACCTGCTTTATGACCAACTATCACATCACACAACTGCCCAAACAAATTCTCGAAGACATTACGCCGGAGGCTCTGATGTCGAAGGCTGTTCTGGGCTATTTTGTAGATGTGAGAAACGATCCGATCGTTCTTCCTATACCATTTGAAGATGATCAGACAGGTTTTACATCGGCAGTTCACACGACGTTAGGATCAGCAACGAACTCTGCGATCCCTACCACAGTAGTTGACAACACAGTAGTGACAACACAGCAGTGACAACATAGTAGTATCAACACAGTAGTGACAACGTAGTAGTGGCAACACAGTTTGACAACACAGTTTGACAACACAGTAGTCGCAACACAGTAGTGACAACACAGTTTGACAACACAGTAGTGACAACACAGTAGTGACAACATAGTAGTGACAACACAGTAGTGACTACACAGTATTGGCAACACAGTAGTGACAACACATTAGTGACAACACAGTAGTACAATACAGTAGTGATAGCATAGTAGTGACAACATAGTAGTGACAACATAGTAGTGACAACACAGTAGTGACAACACAGTAGTGACAGCACAGTAGTGACAATACGGTAGTGACAACACGGAAGTGATAACACAGTAGTGACAACAGAGTTGCTTTCCGACCTTGTTTTCACAACTACACTCGAATTTCCCGCATTCATACAAATAATTGTCTCAAGGTATTATTACTACGACAGAACCAATCGTATATTCATAAGCATGACAAGCATTATCACATTCACACCAACCGGGTCGGCTACTATCTTTGATGATATTTCGTCATCCTTAACAACCAGTATGACCACCGCAACTGACTCGCAATGACGACCACGTGACTTGATAGTATACTGAACGAGACTGCAATTGAAAACTTTAGTCACGCCGAATACAACGACGATAGATATTAGGACTCCAAGGTCTGAACGCCCTGACGAAAACACCTCATAAAAATATTAGTAGTTAAATTTTTAGTTAAGTTTTATTAGAAAACCGGTATTCTGACACGGGGCGTGTGCTCGGCAGATGTATAATAAAAAACAAGACCTCGGAATCTCATCACAATCCCATATAGTACTATTTTGAGCGCCGGCGCCTACCAAATGCTGTTCAATGGACGTCAGTGGCGGCGAAGTCTGCACACAAACACGTATATATACATACATATATATATATATATATATATATATATCTCTCTCTCTCTCTCTATATATCTATCTATCTATCTATATCTATATATCTATCTATATAAATATAT